GAGAGAGAGAGAGAGAGAGAGAGAGAGAGAGAGAGAGAGAGAGAGAGATATATATATATATAGCTATCTATATCACTCTACATACATATATATATATATATATATATATATACATACATACATACATATATATATATATATATATATATATATATATATATATATATATATATATATACATATATATATATATATATATATATATATATATATATATATATATATATATATATATATTTTTTTTTTAATTTTTTTTATAAAATATTATAATCTCTACTTCACCGTCGTCGTTTGGACAGTTGCGACGTTCCAACTGAAATATCGCCGTTCCCGTTTCTTCTCCGAGTTATAATGATCACTCTAACGAAAGTTGTCGATAGTGATCGGCCGTTGTTAAGTTTCCTAGCTTTTCTTGCTAAAATGAAAAGGAAATAATCGTAATTAACTTCGATGTTGATTTGATTAATTCCGCTAATATATAAGAAATAAATTTAATTTTTTTGAAAATGTCAAAGATATTTCGGTTACTCTACTTCATTTGTTTTTTGATTAATTGAGTTGTCAAAAGAATTATGAGAATATTTTTATTATTTCAGATCATTTATTATAAAACAAAACATATATATCTTATATTAAATTCTTAGTATCCACAGGACCACAAGTGGACACATCAAACCCCAACAGAAAATATAATACGGTAGAATCTCGATAAATTAATACTTTCGCTTCCCGACTTGGGGACAACGTGTTAAGTTAATAGTTCGCTAAATTTATAAGATTATATACATTCGAAAATTTTAAAAAGCCTCATATAATATATAAATTAATAATGCATAAAAATATTTCTTAAATTACATAGTGCAATACATGTTTTATAGATCTACGAAGGCTTATTAAAATATAATTTAATTGTCGCTCGTTTCTAGTTAAAGTTCGTATCACTATCAATCTCGTCCTTCACTTCATTTAACATGGTTAGTAGTATAGTTTTCTCATAACTCAACAGAAAATTGTTCAATACCATTGCCGCTTTAAGAGCTTTTGTTCGAGAAACGGACTCTATAGTACATTAAACTAATGATACAATGAATAATATATGCGTAAAAAAATTTGAAAAAATATTTATTGAAAATAATAAATAAAAAATTATAAATTAATAAGTTATTAATTAGTGTATAAGTTAATATTTCACTAAATTATTAGGATTTTGATGGCCCCAACTCCCGACTATATTATTAATTTATATAGATTTAACTGTACAAATAATTAATTTAGAAGAAAAAAAAAATATAAAAGAAAAAGGAAGTAAGAAATCAGAAATAACATAATAATTTAAGTCAAAGCAGCCACCCTATTCAACCACCACATTTGCTGTGGATCTCGTGGAGATTGGGATATTGGAAACCCTTGAAATAAATTAAATAAAAATTAAAATAAACTTTTAAATAAAATAAAAATAAAATGTAAATAATGACAGAAGCCAACAGTTGTTGCCAGTGAACAAAATTTTTATATATCTCTGAAAAGGTGACCTCTTTGATCTTGCTTACTCTTGCACAATCAATCATTGGTTCTTAATTCTTATTTAATTTTTTTTTTCATTTTTTTTAATTTTAATTTTAATCACTAGAAAAATATTATCATGCTGCCTCTTTGTATCTCTATATAAATATGGCAAACTTTGACATAATAGCATTCAAGAACTCAATCAATTAGTTACAAAATATTATTTTTTTCAAGCTTGAAAAATAATTATATTATCAAGAAATATTATTATTATTATTATGGCAATTGAGCAAGATGAAGAAGTGTGTGTTGGTTTATCAAAAGTTGCGGTATCGGAAACTCACGGCGAGGACTCACCGTATTTCGCGGGGTGGAGAGCATACGATCAAAACCCTTATCATGAACTTTCTAATCCTTCTGGAGTTATACAGATGGGGCTTGCTGAAAATCAGGTAATTATATTTCATTTTTCATCATCTCCCAATTATTATTATTTATTTTATTTTTTTGGTAATTAAACTAATTTTTATTTATTTACGTATAACAGGTTTCGTTTGACTTGATCGAACGATACCTGGAAAAACATTCGCAGACGATGAACACGACAGGATTTAGAGAGAATGCACTTTTTCAAGATTATCATGGCTTAAAATCTTTCAGACAGGTATTTAAATATATATACATATACATATATATATATATATATATATATATATATATATATATATATATATATATATATATATATATATATATATATATATATATATATATATATATATATATATATATATATATATATATATATATATATATATATATATATATATATATATATATATATATATATATATATATATGTATGAGAGAGTATATATCGATCTATATATATATATATATATTTTTAGGTATGAGGGGTGTGTGTGTGTGAGTGTGTATATATATATATATATATATATATATATATATATATATATATATATATATATAGTAGTAAGTAATATATTGCATGAAATTAAAAGTACAAATATAAATATTTTGCAGGCAATGGCAAGTTTCATGGAGCAAATAAGAGGAGGGAGAGCGAAATTCGACCCCGATAGAATCGTGATTACAGCTGGCGCGACGGCAGCAAACGAACTACTAACGTTCATTCTTGCCGATCCGGGAGATGCTTTACTCGTTCCAACTCCCTATTATCCAGGGTACGTACTAAATTTTCGACTTTTTTTTCTTTTTTTATTATCGAAAATTTCGATACATAATTATTTTACTATAAATTTGAACACAAAATAAAATTTATTTGCTATATATAAGCCTCTGGAATTAATTCAATTTAAAGACTTCCCTTTATCCACATCAAAACTTAAAAAATATGTCAAATTTTCGCGTTTTTTTTTTTGTTTTTTTAATTTCTATTTTTTTTATCACAATAGTAATTTTGCTATATATATTGATCATATTTATTTTTATTATTATTGCACAGATTTGACAGAGATTTGAGGTGGAGAACAGGCGTAAAAATCGTACCGGTCCACTGCGACAGCTCAAACAATTTCGAAATAACTCCACAAGCACTCGAATCAGCTTACGAAGAAGCAAAATCGAACAACGTAAAAATTAGTGGACTGCTAATAACAAATCCATCAAATCCATTAGGAGCCACAATCCAAAGATCCGTCCTCGAAAATATTCTCGATTTCGTCACCCGTAAAAACATCCACCTCATCTCCGACGAGATCTACTCGGGCTCGTCCTTTTCCCCCGACGAGTTCGTAAGCGTGGCCGAAATCCTCGATTCGAGAAACCACAAAGAGTCTCAAAGGGTCCACATAGTTTACAGTTTATCGAAGGATCTAGGGTTACCGGGTTTTAGGGTTGGGACTATATACTCGTACAACGACGCGGTGGTCACCACCGCGAGGCGAATGTCGAGCTTCACGTTAATCTCGTCGCAAACGCAGCAGCTTCTGTCGCTAATGCTCTCCGACGGGGATTTCACGGAGAACTACGTGAGGGTTAACCGAGATCGGCTGAAGAAGCGGTACGGAATGATTGTCGAGGGTTTGCGAAACGCCGGGATCGAGTGCTTGAGCGGCGGGAACGCGGGGTTGTTTTGCTGGATGGATTTGAAGGGTTTGTTGGGTGACTCTCCGACAAAGGAAGGTGAGTTGAGTTTGTGGAAATTAATGTTGGAAGAAGTGAAGGTGAATATTTCTCCGGGGTATTCTTGTCATTGTTCCGAGCCTGGTTGGTTTAGGGTTTGCTTTGCTAATATGAGTGAAGAGACTCTTCAAGTTGCTATTAGAAGGATACATGATTTTATGGTGAGAAGAAGAAATTGACGTGTTATCCTTTTATTTTATTGTTATTACTTTTTTGGTAGTTTTTTTTTTTTTTTTGGAATAGAGAATATTAGGGTTTGCCTATAAAAATCAAGAACTGTAAATCAGATTTAATGCCATGTTGGAATTGATTCATTTAATACTCTCTTTTTTTCCTTTTTTTTTTTTGGAGTGATGCTATTTTCACCTTCTAATTTTCTCATTTCACCACTTTAAAAAATGAATAAATGTTACGCAAAATGTACTACGTGTTAAAAGAAATTAAATATATGTAACAAAATCTTTTAATGTTCATTTATTGCATAAAATCCTCCAACAAATATGGGACTAGCTAGGCTTGAATAATCCTTTGATTCTAGAAAAAATTAAATATAAAATATATAAACCCTCAAATTTTCCTATGCACGGAAACCCTTTCTATAACTAACGACGCTAATTATTCACAGAAAAACATCGGTTCTCGTAAATAAAACAAATGAAATGGATTTCACGACTCCCTTCGTTTTTTTTAAAGGTCCTTAACCATAAATTTGTTTCCTCAATATTATGTGTCGCTTTAGAGTTCCAAACCCAAATTATTTTTTTTTACCAATTTTTATCATTAATATAATTAATAATTATGTTGAAAAAGAAAAGATTAGTTAATATTTTTTGTAAATATGTACAAAGGATAATTTTGGACTTTTCAATTAAAAAATTAAATTATTTATTAGAATTCTTAATTTCTTAATTGTGCATGTTGTATGACACTTATGTAGTGTTTGTAAAAACTTTTATAAAAAGATTATGAGCTTTTTTTAGGTGTCTGCAATATAATATCAATTTTGTTTTTGCTTCTGTTAAAAATAAGCGGATGTTTTAAACGATAATTTTAAAACAACCCATGGCCCTACTTTTTCTATTTAAGTTGATCACATCCAATTAAGTTGATCACATCCAACTACGACAAATAAACACTTAAAAGTTAAAACCAACTTAAATTACAATCAGTAACTTTTGTTTTTAAATAAGTTTTTCCTTTTAAATATTTTTTTGCAAACATCACTTGAAAAATAAATGGAGGGGATCACAAAATAAATTAAATAGAGGAGGATTTGGTGCAAACGTAAGAGATGAGTTGGAAACAAGTTTCTCTCATAGACTTTGATGATTTATTATTGTACCATGCCTTTGACTCGTTTCATTGTTTAACTCAATATAGAAACAATACACTCAGCACACACACATAAAGTATATTTATGTTGTTCATTTATTTAATTATTTGTTTATTTTATTTAATCTTATATGCAACCAATTTTGTCAAACACATTGCATAAGTATTTAATTCAATTCACATTAGTTCTTTCGAAAATTTGGATAATTTTTGTTTCCATTTTCCACGCAGCAGTTGGAACCAAGCTGTCAACTTACGTACATAACTTAAGAGCCAGAGTAAGACAAAAGTTGAGAGTGGGGAATGAATTATTTCGACTTTTGGTATATAACTATATTAATATATATATTACTTTTTTCATTTTTGGAATTTGAAAGATGTTGAATGTTAGGGTTTAATGGCGGCTGAGAGTTTGTTGCGTGACAAAGTTCGAAATAGTACACCGTAGTATACTAAATATGCAAAACATTATCATAAATGGCGAAAATGAGTTAAGTCATCTTCAAATAATGTATTTGTTTAACTTTCTCAGTTCGATTTTTTGGAGCATTTATCAAAATATTAAAGTATTAATTAATACCTAGGATAATAATGTGACAGCAAACAAAATTAGCATGTTCATACAAGATCATGTGCACGTACGTTTTTGGCTGTCATGCATTATTAAATTGTTTTAAATATATGTTGAAAAAATGAGATAATTCAATTATTGGCCTAGTGATACAAAAGAACGATTTCGTCCCATTATGAGAATATATATATATATATATATATATATATATATATATATATATATATATATATATATATATATATATATATATATATATATATATATATATATATATATATATATATATATATATATATATATATATATACCATATATATATATATATATATATATATATATATATATATATATATATATATATATATATATATATATATATATATATATATATATATATATATATATATATATATATATATATATATATATATATATATGGATGTAAGTGATATGTGTTCTTTTAGATGTAAACTAATCCAAATTGTTGTTTTTTATATTTATGTACTTTTAATTAGATGCTACCCAATTTATTGTTTATGAGATGCGACAATTGGTGAAAACTATCGTGTGGTCTAATTTGTATTATAAATTTATATAAACTAGCATTTTTTCTCCGTGCGATGCACGGGATATTATTTAAAAAGTGAAAAAAAAAATCAATTTAATACATAATAAGAAAATATAGTACATTAACATAGTAAAATTTAATAATGTAGTATTACTCATATTTTATATACCATTAGTTAGTTTTTTTATATTTTACATATTAAAATTTATAATCCAAATATATAGGTTTAGATTTAACAAATCGAATTTCTATCTTTATATATTGAGATTTGAGATATATTGATGAAAAATAGGAGATCCATAATTGTTGAAAATTAGTACAGAAAAAATATTAAAAATAAATAATTACAGAAATACCATTAGGGTCTTTTTAAGGTTGTCCAGCGTTTCTTTCTTTTATATATAAGATAATTATCTATTAAGAGGGTGTTTGGCTAAGCTTATAAGATGTTAAAAGGAACTTATAAGATGTTTTAGAGGTTATAAGTTCTGGCTAAGAGAAGCGCTATGTGATTG